TTTATTCTTTATTTCATTATACGTTTGACTCATTTTTGTTTTCTCCCTTATTAAATGACTCTCAGTGGCCCTTCCTCCCTTAAATAAATAACTATTTTACTGGTATTTTAACCGCTGAAAGGTTCATTCTGAGAGTTTCAGCTTTAATTCTCAAACGTTTTGATGACTTCTTCCATTTTGAGTCGGTTTAATTTTTCCTCCAGTAAAAGATCTGAGCTGTTAGCTCAATAAACACTCACTCTGCTCTGTGTTTGATATGAAATGATTTATTCAGTGTAAACCAGGTCTAGAAAAGCCACAAGAAAACTTCCTCTTGGTAAAACTGACACCATTAAAAATACCTATAAAACTTTTATGCTAAAATCAACAATCAACAATAAAAATCTGATAAAAAGCAGGCAGATAATTAGCATGAATTTACAGTTTCTGTAAGATGATAATACCCACAATTTAAACCTTTAATATTATTTATTCAAAGCCTCCATTTTACCACCAGGACCAGAAGGTTCTGGGTTGGAGTCCCCGGGGGAACCAGGACCAGAGGGTTCTGGGTTGGAGTCCCGGGGGAACCAGGACCTTTCTGGGTGGTTCTGCATGTTCTCCTGTGTCTGTGGGTTCTCTCCGGGTTCTCCGGCTTCCTCCCACCCTCCAAAAACCTGCATGTTAGGTTGGCTGGACTCCAAACTGCCCTTAGTGTGAGTGTGTGTGGTTGTTGGTCCTTGTGTGTCTCTGTGTGTCCCTGTAATGGACTGGGGACCGTCCAGGGGGACCCCGCCTCTCCCCATTGGCTACTGGGATAGGCTCCGCCCCCCCGACCCCATTAGGGAATAAGAGGTTAGAATAATGGATGGGTTGGATGGGTTGTCTTTCGGGTCCTCTGAGGCTGGCGTTTGGTGTTTAGCATCCGGCGTTTAGCGTTTGGCATTTGGTATTTGGCGTTTGGTGTCCCGGGTTTGGCGTGCGGCGTTTGGTGTTTGGCGTCCGGGGTTTGGCGTCCGGCGTTTGGCGTTTGGGGTTTGGTTTTTGTCGTTTAGCGTTTGGTGTTTGGCGTCCGGGGTTTAGCATCCGGCGTTTGGCGTTCAGCGTTTGCTGTTTGGCGTTTGGCGTTTGGCGTTTAGCATCCGGTGTTTGGCATTTGGCGTTTGGTGTTTGGTGTTTGGTGTTTGGTGTTTGGTGTTTGGCGTTTAGCGTTTAGTGTTTGGCGTTTGGCCTTTAGCCTTTAGCGTTTGGCGTTTGGCAGTTGGCGTTTGGCGTTTGGCGTCTGGCTCAGAGCGCCACGCACACACAGGGGTGTTGGAGGCACACGGGGAGGATTCCTGTGTTGATCTGGTGGAACTCCACCAGCTGCAGCAGGTCTATGAACAGCGTGGCCCCGTCGTCGATGGTGAAGTACTTCCTGCCCGCCTTCTCACACTGAAGAAGAAGAAGAAGAAGAAGAACAAGAAGAAGAAGAACAAGAAGAAGAAGAAGAAGAAGAAGAAGCAATGAGCTTGTCTGGAGGGGGGTTATAAGGTTATAAATTCATAAAGATGTCCGGTTTTCACTGTTTTTCATGGGACCATAACTGTATTATTAGAATTTGGCTCGTTCCTCCCGTTAGCATCGTATTCTAACACATAATCCATGTAAATTACTGATTGTCTTATTCCTTACAGAACTAAACTTTTGCATGAATTAGGACCTGGCCTGTTCATGTCTGAGCTAACTGGCCAATAGGACTTAGTTATGTCCAGTCCTCCTGTTAGAATTTGGCTATAATTACTCACTTTAGCATAGTATGCTATCATATAATCCATGCAAATGACTGATTGTTTTATTTCCTTTTATAACTATATTTTGTGTTAAAGTCTCTGGCTGGAACCACCGATTCTCTTTTTTATTAGATCCACCTTTAGGTCAACACACACACACACCATTTGTTAGCACATTCCGGTCATCTGCATGAATTAGGACCTGGCCTGTTCATTACTCACTTTAGCATTGTATGCTATCACATGATCTATGTAGATTACTGATTGTTTTATTTCCTTTTATAACTATATTTTGTGTTAAAGTCTCTGGCTGTGTCCACAGACTCTCTTTCCTCTCTTTTTCTTTCTTTTTTACATGAGATCCACGTCTTTAGGACAACACACACTCAAAAACACACTTTGTTACCACATTCCTGTAATCTGCATGAATTAGGACCTGGCCTGTTTATGCCCAGAGGTAACTGGCCAATAGAACTTAGTATAGATCCTTTAGATCCTTCCAAAAAGTATCTAAACTTAGTATAGATCCTTTTTTTATAGATCCTTTTTGTGAGTTTGTACTGTTGTGAGACTCTTATTACATTAAGGGGGTATTAAGAGGTATTTATTTGAAGCTGTATTTTCTAATTCAGAAGAGCTCATAATCACATTATTTGATTTTTTTTATTTATTTTAAAGGAGGGCTATCATTTTGTTACTGGTTATTACCAATTGTGTTTTACTACTTCAGTTGTTTTTGTACCATTGAGGTATAATAAAGCCTGTTCAATGACATCTGAGTAGCCATCTGGTTCCGTCTGGAGGAAAAGTGGCCTCCATTTTGGAAATGAAAACACTTAGTTTTGAAGGGGTCCACTCACCGGGATGACCAGGTAGTGTTTGGTCCTCAGCTGGAAGCACATGGACAGGACGAAGCACTGGTCGTGCTGCTGGCTGTCTCTGATCAGGAACATCCTGCAGACACACAAACACAGAAACAGGCCTCGCTCAGCTCAGAAAACACCGGGAAATACACTCAGCCCACAGCTTCCTGACCACACGGTCTATCTAAAGGGGACATATTATGCAAAACCAAGTTTTTAATCATTTGATTGTGTACATTTGGGACTGTGGAGGGCCTATCAGTGTCATTTTTTCAAGTGTGAAAAAAAATGACTCGGCCATGTTTTTGTGGGCTGCCTCAGTCTGAATCCAGGAGATAAATCAGGAGGTTTCAGGAGTGGGTAGTTTCTGACGTCATTAGCTCTAGCTCATTATAATATTCCAGCCTTTCACCTGCATGTTGCCCCCCCCCCCT